GAAAAGGATTTTTGTTAAATTGCAAACAAGAAAATTCCGGAATAATGAATTTTCTTGTTTGCAATTTGACAAAATCCGTGCGCACAACCAGACCAGAACTTCACCAACATAACTTTCTAAAATTTTTTTTTTGGATAAAATTTTTAGTCTTGCATTTTCTCAGGCTTCTATCGCGACACCCATCACTTGCCGTTGTTCTCTAACATAACAAAAAGTGCACTAAGCTTAACTTGCATTTAAGATTTTTTTTCACTACTTCTTGCTCTGATTTTGTATATGATTGTGCCGTTTTGAGGCGACAGGGCAAAAGCAACGACATAATTTCGGACCTTAAACAGCTGCGAGATAGAATTTGATTCGCCGCTAATTTTTTTATTTTGCTTTTATTTATGCGTTAATTACGTTAGGGGCTTGGCTGGTTTGTGGTAGCAAACTAAAACTAGTGCCTTGGCTGGTAACCCTGACTGATCCTCTGCCGTCAGCAGTAACCTATAGTTTCCGGGATGTAATTAACCTTCTAAATCAACCGTGCGATGACAAATTTTTACGAACCCTAATTACAATAGAAACACTCTCTATATAATTGCTGACTAACCTTCATTTTTTCAATGTGTCTCTGAGATCAGTAGAATGTTGCGTTCCTGGAGGAGGTGTTTAATCTCAAGAGATTTTCCAACTAAGTTGTTGGCGTTCCAAATTTTTTTTAGTTTTTGCATTTGATAGGGCAACATTTAAGCAACATGTGTGAATTTTTTTATCCAAAGATATAAAAAATTGAGTGAGATATAGGCAATCTCCGGCGGCGCCTCGAAGAAAACACGTTTTACGGTGTACACGATAACTGGTCACATAATTATCTGATTTAAAATAAGAAAGGAAAGCTAACTTCGGGCGGAGCCGAAGTTGATATACCCTTGCAGAATATTCTTTAAATTATATTCTCCAAAATTATTCATATGATGAAGTCTTAATAATCATAAAAAGTCCCAACTTCCTAACTTTAAAAACACCAAAGTTATGGCATTTCCAATCGTTCAGTTAGGATATAGTCGGCCGATCCTTATGAAATTTGTTAGGTCGGATTGATTGGCCAAATATAAAACCCATATAAAATCCCAAAATCCTAACTTAACAAACACCAAAGTTATGGCATTTCCGATTAATCAGTTATATGGCGGCTATAGGATATAGTCGGCTGATCCTTATGAAATTAGATAGGTCGGATTGATTGGCCAAATATAACACCCATAGAAAATCCCAACTTCCTAACTTTACAAACACCAAAGTTATGGCATTTCCGATCAATCAGTTATATGACAGCTATAGGATATAGTCGGCCGATCCTTATGAAATTTGGTAGGTCGGATTTATTAGCCAAATATAAAACACATAGAAAATCCCAACTTTCTAACTGCCCATAAGTTCGGAAGTTTTACTCGGATCGATCTAAAATTTTAACACAATAGTCTCGAGATGTTGTGCATTTAGAAAAAAAATGCAAACAATATTTGAATACTATACCCCGCCCTTAATCCATTAATAAATTCCAGAAGCCTTTCCTGTTGTTCCTCTTTCATGGCGAAGCACTTCTCCTTGTCCTTTGTCTCATGGTCACCAATACATCAGACACACTATGGCAAGAGTAAGCAAACATTTTTAGGATGTCCAAATTCTTGACTGAAACAGCGGATTCAGGGTTCCGAGGGTTGTGTCCCAAAGCCTTAAGTGTCGCAGTCATTTCTGTTATTTCAGTGGGTGCATTAAGTCCCTTGACGATGACCCGAACGGCTTGAAATGTCCTGACAGGGCTTCCATTATCTTTGAAAAGCTTCTAGACCTCACGGTACACACTGCCGTCATCCAAAGTAACCCCAAAGAAAGATTAAAATCAGTAATTAAGTGATTTGGTTTGAGAAGAGGCATTGCGTGGGGACACTGGATGAAACACTGGATCAGACAAACTACGGCCAACCTCAGGCGTGATGATTGATTATTAATAGCAGTGGAAGTAATTATATCATTATCATCGTTATCAGAAAAATAGCAAAGCTTTTGTTCCCCTATTTGGGTAGAGTCTCCTCCATTTAAAGGTGGTGATTGTATGATCATACCAGAGGCTGCAGCTTAAGGACATTTATGATCGCCAACGGGGCTTAGCAGCGATGATTTATTGGTACCACCAGGTACTTCAAGATTTTTTTTCTGAGGTTATTTACCTGAGTACTCCGTTCTTAATTGGAACAAGGGAGCAGGTGTCTGCTGCTCGTCGTTAACTTCTGCGGCGTCTCTCGAAATTGGCTTTTGCGGCTGAACAAGGACTTCAGATGTTATGCGAACCTTTCTAGCGGGGCCGTGTATCGCGATTGAACTGAGAGGTCGCGGTTATCGCCCAGCAAATATTAAACAGGTTTGTTTTTTCTAATTTTCAACTTCCGAAGCAACCTGGAATTTCTTCTTCGACACTTATCTATGGCATATTCAAAAACAAACTGCTGTCCTGATTGGGAGTCCCCCTTAAGCCTAAGCGGCCTTTACTGAGTGAGGAAGGAAAGACGAAAGCTTACTCAACGCAGTGAAGGAGACATTGCCGACCCTATAAAGAATATATATATTCTTGATCAGTATCACCAGGAGGTTCGATCTAGCCATGTCTGTCTGTCCATCTGTCCGTCCGGCCGTCCGTTGCTACGGAAACTAGTCTCTTAGTTTTAAAGCTATCTTCTTGAAATTTTCCCAAACATTTTTCTTTTTATTGCAGGCAGTGTATAAGTCGGAACGATCTGACTCGGGCGACTATATCATATAGCTCCAATTGAAAAAACCCAAAAATTAAAAAAAAAATAAAAATTGTATTTTGCTGGTTTTCTATTTATCAAAGTATTCCTTTGAGATATGAAACAACTTAGTAAATTATATAAGTAGTCTTAACATAATATTATCTTAACATCGCTTTTTAATTTTTTTATTGGTTTCTTCAGATTGATGTGCATATTAGTTTTGTATTGGTTGGTTGCTGCTGGTTGATAAGTCCGACAGCGATTTGACGCTTACTAAATTTCTTGGGATGTTTTTTGTTACTTTGTTAATAAAGTTTGCGGTTGAATGGTGTAGAAGATATTGGAGGTTAAGCCTTTTAACATCTATTTTTGACGATGTGGCTTATTTGTATGAATCCGATCGTCCTGAAAGTAATTATGTTTATTTCCTACGATTGGTTGTATATTTGTCACTTGCCCTGGCTTGATTCTCCCACATAATTCTTGTTTTTGTGTTGTGTTACCTATTGTGCTGTGATTTTTTACAAAGGTGCTTTTGAGTGTATAACTTACTTACTTTGGCCATTGTTTTGCATACATGTTGCATGTTGCGGGTCTGTAGCCCTCTGTATATATAAGATTATACATTATCACTGGGATGATATTTATAGCTGTAGCATTAAAATGATTAATAGTCCGACAAAACGAGTGATTCACACATCGGAAGGTTTCTTTAAGAGGTGGGTATACAAACCCTTAAGAAAAAGCAATAATTTCAAGCAAGAGTGCGAAAATACAATTTTTTGATAATAAGCTATTGGGGCCTTTGGGGATAAATGTAATTTAAGCCCTTTTGGATTTTTACACCTCACCCTACACAATATAACACAATACTTCTTTCAGAAGTTATTAAAAACAAGAGAGAACGCTATAGTCGGGTGCCCCGACTATCAGATACCCGTTACTCAGGTAAAGGGAGTGCGAGGGAGATGGAGATAGAAACTTTGATCACGCATAACTTTTTAACGAATGGTCCGATTTGAAAAATTTCTTCTACATTTCGATAGGTATTAATAAACACAATAAAACTGCATTTTTACTTTTCCGAAATATTTAAATTTTTAAAATCGTATCTAAGCGATTGTGGGCGTTAAAGGGGGCGTGGCACCTTTTTGAAACAAACTTGCGCTGCGTAGGAACTCCTAGAATCTGCATGCAAAATGCCAATCTTCTAGCTTTTATAGTTTCCGAGATCTCAGCGTTCATACGGACAGACAGACAGACAGACGGACAGACGGACAGACGGACATGGCTATATCGACTCGGCTAGTGATCCTGAACAAGAATATATATACTTTATAGGGTCGGAAACGCTTCCTTCTACCTGTTACATACTTTTGCACGAATACAATATACCCTTTTACTCTACGAGTAACGGGTATAAAAACAGATTTCGAGTTTATATGGAATCATTTAATTGCTAGCTTGGCGGGGAATGTAACGTCCATAGGTTTGTGTGTCGTTAAAAGGGTATTTTAGAATGGTATCCTTCTACCAAATCATAATTTGTGTTTAAAAAATATTTACAAAATATTGAAGGGTAAATACAATGTATGCAAGAAACTTGAATACTTTATTAAAGAAGGACGAGAGAGCACCTTTTTTCATATGTTGTCAAAAAACTTGATTATGTTTTATTCGATGACTTAGATTTATTGGAGCCCATGTCTGGTTGTTAAAGACTATCCTAGGGACATGCGAATGCTAAGGATGCGGTCGAATTCGAGACGACTGTCCAGAGAAGCGGTTCTGCTCCTGCGTGTAGCATGACCTTCAGCGATTGGCCAATGAATCCATTACCTGTGGGGAACAATCGGTGAATGAACTTGGCGTATCTATTGAGATAGGATTTCCAACACATTGGCAGTGTCCTCGAAATGTGTTTGATTTGTTTTTCTGGCCCATTTTTATTGTTGTTTGGCGAACTAACTAGAACTTACTGTAGTTCAAGTTATTTTCCATGGCAAAACATTTAATTTGGAAATTCGATTCAAAGGGAACCATGCCTATTCGCTGAGTTTGTTCTAAATGAATATATTTCTAAACAAGATGGTGGACTATTCGGCTGGAAAATTATCAATCTAAAAATGGATTGTTGCTTATCAGTGATTGATATTCGACGAAGTTTGGAAGAGATATTGGAGCGTATTTATATTAATGGACTATTTTGTTTTCAATTTTTAGCTTTTGGGATATGCCGGCTCCATTTCCACAATGTCTGGTGTTATAAGTCCAACAGATTTGAGTCTTTATTCAGCTCCAATGGCTGTATCACGTTCAAGTGGCAGGACTAGATGGAACGAAGGGGAGCATAATATAATTCCACATTCTGTATCTAGTACAAACATAGAAAACACCCAAGTAATTTTAATGGATGATTGTAAGTTTTTAATTATGTTTGGCGTGACTAATTTTTAATTTAATTTAGAACTCATTTCAGCGTCTGGACGTTATATAGATGACTACTCCAACCGTGACTATGTATCATGATCTAAGATCAATGATATAAAAGTGATTAAACTCTTCGGCTTGGGCATGCCAAAACAATAATAAAATAGGAGTACCTTAAATACATAGAATAAAACCAAAAGCAATTTAATTTAACTGAAACAATCGATAATAACACTACGCTTTATATTTAAATATAGTAAGGCGGAATTGAAATAAGGTAATTGGTCATACGTCTATATAATTACACCGGTATAACAATAATGCCTGTAAGCCAGGAGAAAGAAATTATTAAAGAAAAACTGCAATCGGGGTAGTTGCTTTAAAAAGCTCAATAAACGTACCGGATCTCATTTCGTTTTCTTCTTTTAAAAACATGAAAACATTAATAATAGAAGTATAGACCTGCACGAGTACACTCAAAGTGTGTTTTAAATCACTTTAAAAAAAGGTTGACAACTCAAAAAAAAATTGATAGCTCGTCTTCTTAATTTTTTTATACAAAATTGATTGAATCATCGGAACTGTGAATACCAAGATAATTTGATAACGCGGCCCAAATTTGACTTCAGAGAAAGTACTTATTGAAACTAGCTACAACCCATTGGCTATTGCGTAAGCCATTTTAAAATTAGTTTTAAGGCCTTCGGCATTATTAAATAATATGTAGCTCTCAACAAATCCGACAAAACAGTATTCTGCCTGCACCACACTAGGTAATCTTTTTCAAAATTAAGCCAGTTCTTACTGTAGTTTTCTAATTGCTATAAAAGACTTAGCTAGTTTTGATGAATACTTTTGAAATTCCAATTTAAAATTTATTTTCTTGTTGGGCAGTGGAATTAAAAAATTAGTTTCCGTTAGATTGGAGGTCAACATCATAGTTATTTTTGTTCACATTATACAAATCTTCTGCAGAGTATCAGAAAGAATGTCTAAAAAAGATTGTGGATTTTTTTGTTTTTGACTTAGAATCATAGTGTTATTTAAGTTTTGCAGAACTCTAGTAACCAGTATAGCGTCTTCTGGGCAATTTACAATTTCGATGCTAGCCATACTGAACAATAACTAAATATTACTTAATATACATATGATAATTTAAATACATTTATAAGAGCCTTACAAAAAATAGTTCTGTCATGATATTAAAAAGAGTTTATTAAAGCTTTTAATTTTAAAAATTATAAAGTAAATTCTTATGCGAAAAATAATTGTATCTTTAGAATTTATTTTGATGGTGAATTTAAATTCAAATGTCAAAAATAAGGAATATAATGAATAAAATGTTATGACAATAGTAGCAGTACTAACGAAAGTATCGCCACAATAAAGTGTATATATGACTTATAGAGGAAAATTCTAAAATAGATTATGTCCTATATGCTCAAAGATTATAATCATTGCTTTTTTAAAATGTTGAGTGAACTTTAAAAGGAGTTCCAATATAATACGCTCAATATTTATATTTTTTTAAGAGCTTTAATATTGTAAATTAAAGACTCTTTCTGTTTTTATTTATTTAAGTGTAAGAAAAAAATTATAATAAGTGCCTGAAATAATGTCTATCATATTGTCAAAGTTAGTTTGATTTTAATATTTTGTAGTCGTAAGTTCTGACGTGAATAATATTAAAATAACACTTGTAGTTAAAATTAATGTTTTTCGAAAAAATAATTTTTCTAAGTTACTTATGATGTCGTGGGCTCACATAGTGATATAATAGGAATTCACTCAACTTGGTCACATTGAGTGGGAATCTATTTTCACAGGTCTCCGACCTAAGAGTTTCTTTTCAGTTTAAATTTAGTTTTAACGTTTGTTAATTTTGAAATTTATAAAATGTTAGTACAATAACAAACAGAAGTTGATGGCAAAGGGCATGTGAAAAACCAAACAATATTCAAACTAATTATAGGAATTGGCTGTGAATATAATCTTACGCTAACGCTGTTTGTAATTTATATTTAAATGAAAGTGCTTATTATGAAACAAATTATATTGTATTGCAATTTTTATATATACATATAAAAAGTATAGACTGCAACAGAAAGGAGACTTGGTAATAATTTAAGAAAATATTTTATTAAAGAAGACAATTAAATATTAGAATATTACATTCGGAAAAATGATCTGCCTGCCTACGCTTTAACGGAGTTTTACTCAAGAAAAAATGGAATTGCATATGGGATGGGAGTACATTTAAATGGCACAAGGTATAGTAGAATTTTAAAGATCCTTGCATGAAGTCAGGCAAATCTTGAATCTGCTGAGCGATACACCTTGCCGAGAAGTTCCAGCCTTTATTTATTGGGATTTACGCGGGATGCAACCTGAATATCACTGTCTTATATTCTTTCTTCTAATTTACGCGAAAAGAAAGGAAAGTCATTTGTGTTGGGTATAAAGCCTAGTATTCAGATCGACGAAAACCGTACGCCAGTCATGAGAGAGAGCGAGAGGCAAACAGCTGGCGTTCACTTTTCGTCGGGCCTTTTTTTCACGTCGGTACTCAGCTCGACGAAAAAAATACCAGAATATTTCATAGCGTTGCCAGTCTGCTGAAATGAACTTTGGGTGAACCCTAGCGAAAAGATTAAAAAATTTAATCTTTTGGCGTGCGCTTCTCACTGAACATTATAAGAAATGGAGGGAAAAACTCAAAAAACTCGCAAAAGTCGATTGCAGGAGTTTACATGTGAGGACATGTGCCTCTTGTCAGACCAAAATGTTTTTTAGATCAAGAATGTACGAAAAAACACAATAAAAGTGCAGCTATGAACTTTAAATTAGCAAATAATTATCAGTAAATTAAAAAAAACACATGTTAAATTTAAATTGTATTGTTTTTTCTTTGTTCAGCGGCAGACTTTTCTTGCCATGTAGTTAATAATATCGTTTATAGGCTCTTTCCCGATACGATATTTGAATTTTAACTGCTTGTCAACAAGCCCAGCTGATTGACAGTACGACCGTAGCACGCTTAAATCTGATGAACTCTCGAAATTTTGGTCACACTGGAAATATTGAAGTTTTTACGTTAGCATACTCGTTTGTCGATCTGGATACTAGGCTTTAACAAGAAGTTCCTTGCACGAAATAAGCTGTGACATAACTTTGGTGTTTGTAAAGTTAGGAAGCTGGAATTTCCTATGGGTTTTATATTTGGCCAATCAATCCGACCTACCAAATTTCATAAGGATCGGCCGACTATATCCTATAGCTGCCATATAACTGAACGATCGGAAAGGCCATAACTTTGGTATGTTTAAAGTTAGGAAGTTGGGATTTCTTATGGGTTTTATATTTGGCCAATCAATTCGACCTACCAAATTTCATAAGGATCGGCCGAGCATATCCTATATCTGCCATATAACTGATTGATCGGAAATGCCATAACTTTGGTGTTTGTTAAGTTAGGAAGTTGGGTTTTTCTATGGGTTTTATTTTTGGACAATCAATCCGACCTATCAAATTTCATAAGGATCGGCAAACTATATCCTATAGCTGCCATATAACTGAACGATTGGAAATGCCATAACTTTGGTGTTTTTAAAGTTAGGAAGTTGGAATTTTTTTTGAGTATTAAGAATGCATCATATGAATAATTTTGGAGAATATAATGTATGTTCGGCTCCGCCCGAAGTTAGCTTTCCTTTCTTGTTATACCCTTGCAGAGGGTATTATAATTTTGGTCAAAAGTGTGCAACGCAGTGAAGGACACATCTCCGACCCTATAAAGTATATATATTCTTGATCAGGATCACCTCCTGAGTTGATATAGCCATGTCCGTCTGTCTGTCCGTCTGTCTGATTCTACGCAAACTAGTCTCTCAGTTTTAAAGATATCGAATTGAAACTTTGCACACACCCTTCTTTCCTTTGCACGCAGTATGTCGGAACGGCCGGGATTGGCCGACTATATCCTTTAGCTGCCATATAACTGATTGATCGGAAATGCCATAACTTTGGTGTTTGTAAAGTTAGGAAGCTGGGATTTCCTATGGGTTTTATGTTTGGCCAATCAATTCGACCTACCAAATTTCATAAGGATCGGCCGACTATATCCTGTAGCTGCCATATAACTGATTGATCGGAAATGCCATAACTTTGGTGTTTGTTAAGTTAGGAAGTTGGGATTTTCTATGGGTTTATTTTTGGCCAATCAATCTGACCTATCAAGTTTCAAAAAAATCGGCCGACTATATCCTATAGCTACCATATAGCTGAACGATCGGAAATGCCATAACTTTGGTTTTTTTACAGTTAGGAAGTTGGGATTTTTTATGAGTATTAAGAATGCATCATATGAATAATTTTTGAGAATATAATGTACATAATATTCTGCAAGGGTATATCAACTTCGGCTCCGCCCGAAGTTAGCTTTCCTTTCTTGTTATACCCTTGCAGAGGGTATTATAATTTTGGTCAAAAGTGTGCAACGCAGTGAAGGAGACATCTCCGACCCTATAAAGTATATATATTCTTGATCAGGATCACCTCCTGAGTTGATATAGCCATGTCCGTCTGTCCCTCTGTCTGTCCGTCTGTCTGATTCTACGCAAACTAGTCTCTCAGTTTTAAAGATATCGAATTGAAACTTTGCCCACACCCTTCTTTCCTTTGCACGCAGTATATATGTCGGAACGGCCGGGATTGGCCGACTATATCCTGTAGCTGCCATATAACTGATTGATCGGAAATGCCATAACTTTCTTGTTTGTTAAGTTAGGAAGTTGGGATTTTCTATGGGTTTATTTTTGGCCAATCAATCTGGCCTATCAAATTTAAAAAAAAATCGGCCGACTATATCCTATAGCTACCATATAGCTGAACGATCGGAAATGCCATAACTTTGGTTTTTTTACAGTAAGGAAGTTGGGATTTTTTATGAGTATTAAGAATGCATCATATGAATAATTTTGGAGAATATAATTTACAGAGTATTATGCAAGGGTACTTCAACTTCGGATCCGCCCGAAGTTAGCTTTCCTTTCTTGTTGTATTTAATTTTGTACTATTTTGTAGTTTTGACAATAGAAGACAACCAGGTCTTGTGTTGCTGTTATTCTTTTCAAGCGTTTTACCAGAATGTTGTCCTATATGAATCTTGCCTTCTTCTTGGCTTCGAAAGATTTTTTTCTTGTGTGATTTGCTATTTATTTATTAAATCTTCTCCGTTCGGATACTAACAATAGGTGTATCTTATCTTATAGTAATCTAACTAACAGTCATATGATTAGTACTGAGTTATGGGTCCCTGAACTCGCCTTGTAGGGGGGTTCTGCTGAAAACTCCAGTCAAGCCTCTTGCGAGATGATTTGGGTGCACGGAGAGTTTTTTGAAGGTCCTCTTTTGTTTGCCTATTTCATCTTTTACTGCAAGAATTCCGAGGTCTCTGTGGATCTTTTGGCTGCGAATATACCACGGTGCCCAAGTGATAGTCCTCAGGATTTTCGATTGTGCGCGCAGTATGATGTCAATGTTGCTGCTGCTCGCCTTCCCCCTTAGCTGGGAGCCATATGTCCAGATAGGCTTGAAAGTAAGTTGTAGAACAGAACCTTGTAGTTCAAACGCAAGGGCGATCGAATGTTTAATATCCAGTGGAAGCTGCTGGTTTTTAGTTTTAGATGTAGTTTCTTGCATTCGATGTGCCTTCTCCAGGTTAGTCGTCTGTCGAGGTGGACGCCGAGATACGTTACTTCGTTGACTTGGGGAATCGGAGTACTATTCAATGATAGTGGAGGGCATGTTTGCCTGTTGAGAGTAAGCGTTATGTGTTTACATTTTTGTTCATTTATTTTAATACGCCAATCAGATAGCCACCTCTCAAATACGATGAGGTTATTGGCTAGTTGTGTTGTTGCTCGGCTTGGGCACCTCGAGCGACTGAGGATTGCAGTGTCGTCAGCAAACGTAGATGTTTTAAGCTGCTCGTTCGAAGGAATATTCGCTGTACCCTTGCGGGACTCCAGCTTCGATAATGTAGTCGTCAGATGTTGTTGTGTTGCACTTAATGCGAAGACTTTGTGGTAAAGATACGACTCAAATAGTTTATGAGTGTATGTAGGCAAGTGTGTTTTAATCTTATGCATGAGGCCATCCAGCCAGACTCGATCGAAGGCTTGAGATACATCGAGGAATATTGAGCTGTAGGATGTCGGAATTGTGTGGTCTTTTACGGGCTTCGGTATCATTATGATAGTAGATTTTTTCTATTTGCTCGGATAGTAGCCGTATGATCTTATTGAAGAGTTTACAAATAGCCTCAATAGCAGAGTTATTAGGTCACAGCCCGGAGCCTTTTTCAGTTTCAGATCCCCGATTACTTTCGCTATTTTTTTTTGGCTGAAGCAATGTTGGTAAGGATACAGTTTCAGATTCGTTTTGTGGTAGGAGAAATGGACCAGTGGCTGAAAACGCTTCGGAGATGTTAAGCAAAAGTTTCGGCTCTGTCTAGATTCTTATCGGGGTGATTATTTCGATTGAAGAGCTCAGATTTGGGAGAGCCCTTTACATAGGATGTTTTATACAGGTTGGCGAAAGTTTTCCGATGTGCCGCAGTTGTGAAATTTCCGCGTTTTTCTTCAGGGCTCGATTTAATGTGCGAGTTGCTTCCTTAATACGTTGTTTTGAAGATGGCGATCTGTTGGTTTGCCAAGCACGTCGCAGACCATTCTTTCCCAGTACAAGCTGTTCCAATTGCAGATTAGTTTTTAAATGGTTGGTTTGCACGTCCTTCAATTGTGGTGTTGAAATAGAGGCTGCTGCCACGAGTACATTTTCAAGATCATCGGTGGAGCAGTCGATGTCCGCTTTGATGTTAAGCTGAGGGGTTAGTTCGATGTGGGAACTTACATACTTTTTATATTTTAACCAGTTTGTTCTGTGCGATATCAGTCTCTGTGGGTGATCTGTAGTTTGTGGGCTTTGAAGAAGAGTTATTAGCACTGGCGAGTGGTCAGATGAAAAGTCCGAAAGCGCATTTGCGTGGAATGTTTTTTGTCACCGCAAAATCTATTAAATCTGGGACTTTTCTGAAGTCTGATGGCCAGTATGTGGGGCTACCTGGGGAAACATAGTTCAATTTGTTGCTCAGTTTTACAATTGCATTAAATAATTGCCTTCCTTTGGGAGTCAGGAGTCGTGATTACCAATGCGTATGTTTGGCATTATAGTCTCCTGCTGCTATAAGCCGAGCTCCAAGTCCTTTAGAAATTGTAAAGCGAGGCGGGCAGTACACAGCTGCTATGGAAAGGTGACCGTTAGCTGACTGGACTTTCATAGACGTGGCCTGCAAGTAATTAGTTGCAAACCTTTAATGAAAATGGTGTTTGGTGCGTTCTCTGTTTGGGATGCCGGTTCCGCCTTGTGCTTTACCGTCTGGATGATCTGTGCTGTAGAAGGTGTAGCCTCTTATTTGGAAGTTGTATTTGTCTGTAAGGTCCGTCTCTATCAGTAGCAAATTGTCGATATGATTTTTATCCGAAAGATAACTTACGTTATTGTGTTAATCTTTATACTAGGTGGGTATATACATATATATATCCTAATCAAGTGAACATTGATCGGTTAATTGTGATATTATTGAGATAATGTGTTAATTTATCGTTAAGGTTATAAACAGGCTTCGCATTTTGTTACACACAACTAACACAATAAATAAAGGTACAAATGAAAGAAAATAAAGGATACAATATAAATATAGTAAATAAACATTTAGCAAGTTATGGTTGGAAGATATATATATTTGATTCTTCTCTAAATTTGTTAACATATGGAATAAGCTCAATATAAATTTTAAAACATCAGTAATTATATTACTTAGCTTGTCGTACTAATCTAAAAAACAATGTTCATAATTCAAGTATAAGCATGTTTGTATGTACATGTTTGGTGTCAGCAACCAACCCTGCAGTTCCGAAATTCATCACTACAAAAATTCATCGCCCTTTCATCAGGAGCGTATTGCGACGCCGGCAGAGCCAAAGGCAAAGTCATGATACAATAACATAAGGTAGTCTCGTCGGCAAAATTTTGGTACCTCTCTATTATAACAATGAGTGCGAGTGAGATGGGAACTGTTTAGTAAGTGCGTGCAGAGCGACAATAGAATGTGTGGATTAACCCTTAGATGGTTCAGGGGGGTTTTTTTTTGCCTTTCATAATAAAAGGAGTTTAATTTTTTTTTATAATTTAATTTTTAATAATTTAGAATTAGAAATTAGGTGTTGTTTTTGTCTCTGAATACTGAGTCTTTTGTTAAGATTCTTAATTCTAAAATATATTCTAATTTTAAAATAAAACTTTTTTATGTCTTAACTTATTCTAAAATTTTCAGCAGCGATTATTAAAGTTTCTTTTACATTTTTAGTTATTTTAAAAGTATCCCAGCGATTCCTCCCACAGCGCTCTTTTTTCCAAACATTTCGGTGCCTTTATAAATTTGACGCCATCAACGTGTTTGCGGCACACATTGCAAAATGTCATGTTGCTCAAGGGTTAATTTCCTAAAAAATTCGTCCGCAGACAACCTTTCCCTTCGAAAGACGAACACGCACTGACCAAAACCCGAACGTTTAGACAGCCGACGAGACTACCTTATGTTATTGTATCATGGGCAAAGTCGGCATAGCCGAATGCGACGCAGGCAGAGCCGAAACTCTCAGTCGCCGATCGTAGGAAACGCAGAAAACTTTCCATCTCCCTCTCTTACTCTGTCCATGATACAATAACATATGTTATTAGATGAGCTGCGTGGTGGGGGACAACCTATAAAAATCACAACGCCTGTTGCACACCCTTGAAATTAAAATAACATAATTTTTATTTTTGTAATAAATATTTAAGTCGATACTTATTAATTATATTATTTTATGGATTTACGTTTTAAAATAACATACGCTATGATCGTATTGAAAGAAATGGATTCATTTATTAGGTAAATTTAAATAATGTAATTATTTTGAATAGTCGGACATGCTTTTATATACCCTATATACTCAAAAGTTTGAGAGGTTATCAGATTTAAGCGTGCTACGGTCGTACTGTCAATCAGCTGGATTTGTTGACAAGCAGTTAAAATTCAAATATCGTATTTGCGGGAAAGAGCCTTTAAAAGATATTATCAACTACCTTGGCAAAACAAGTCTGCCGCTGTACAAAGAAATTAAAAAACAATACAATTTAAATTTAACAGTTGTTTTTTTTAATTTACCGATAATTATTTGCTAATTTAAAGTTCATAGCTGCACTTTTATTGTGTTTTTTCGTACATTCTGGACCTAAAAAACATTTTGCTCTGACAAGAGGCACCCCAGATAGTATTAATGTTATTTTGTCCTCACATGTAAACACCTGCAATCGACTTTTGTGAGTTTTTTGAGTTTTTCCCTCCATTTCTTATAATGTTCAGTGAGAAGCGCACGCCAAAAGATTAAATTTTTTAATCTTTTCGCTAGGGTTCACGTTTCCGCAGACTGGCAATGCTATGGAATTTTCTGGTATTTTTTTCGTCGATCAGGAGACCGACGTGAAAAAAAGGCCCGACGAAAAGTGAACGCCAGCTGTTTGCCTCTCGCTCTCTCTCATGACTGGCGTACGGTTTTCGTCGATCAGGATACTAGGCTTTAAGGCTAAAGCCTAGTATCCAGATCGACAAACGATTACGCTAGCGTAAAAACTTTAATCTTTCCAGTGTGACCAAAAGTTTGAGAGTTCATCAGATTTAAGCCTGCTACGGTCGTACTGTCAATCAGCTGGGTTTGATGACAAGCAGTTAAAATTCAAATATCGTATTTGCGGGAAAGAGCCTTTAAAAGATATTATCAAATACCTTGGCAAGACAAGTCTGCCGCTGTACAAAGAATTTAAAAAACAATACAATACAAATTTAACAGTTCTTTTTTTAATTTACTGATAATTATTTGCTAATTTAAAGTTCATAACTGCACTTTTATTGTGTTTTTTCGTACATTCTGGACCTAAAAAACATTTTGCTCTGACAAGAGGCACCCCAGAAAGTATTAATGTTATTTTGTCCTCTCATGTAAACACCTGCAATCGACTTTTGTGAGTTTTTTGAGTTTTTCCTTCCATTTCTTATAATGTTCAGTGAGAAGCCCACGCCAAAAGATTAAATTTTTTAATCTTTTCGCTAGGGTTCACCCAAAGTTTATTTCCGCAGACGTGGCAACGCTATGGAATTTTCTGGTATTTTTTTCGTCGATCAGGAGACCGACGTGAAAAAAAGGCCCGACGAAAAGTGAACGCCAGCTGTTTGCCTCTCGCTCTCTCTCATGACTGGCGTTCGGTTTACGTCGAAGTGGATACTAGGCTTAAGCTTATAATAAAACTGTTGGGCCAGCATAACCTAAGCTGGAGTTGGCCGGCGGCAAAACAAGAAACGCAGTAAGTTTCTATATATTTTATAATAATTTTTCTATTTTAGATATACTTGGACAGGAAGAGCCAGTACATAAAGCACGAAGTCAAAAAAAGAGCACTAAAACCGAAACATCCTCAACACCTCGGACAACTGAAAACGTACATATGTATGTAGATTGAATTAAGTTAAATTAATTAGTTATATCTAATGAAATAATGTAATAAAATAAAATGAAATTTATATGAAAATTTACTGAATAAATTTTACTGATGAAAAAAAAGACATTAAAAAGCGATGAAAATGCGATGAAAAAACGATGAAAATGCGATGAAAATACGATGTATGAAATCACTAATTCGTATGAAAATTAGTTAGGATTTTATTTTTAACTTGATAGGTTTTTTTGCTTAATATCAGGAGTATTTGTTTGAGCATGAATCATTTATTGGTATTAAGCTCAAAAAATGTTACTACTAATACAATTTAAAACAGAATATTTTTGTTGATTTCCAAATAAAACGGTTGTATTTATTGGTACAAGCAAAAATTAATTTACTTGATTACTGGAGCAATAAGCCAAAACATACTGTAACGATTCAGAGTTTAATAACAGAGAAGAATATTTGTTTTCAAGAAATTGTCTTTCTATTTCTCTTAATGAATTCGACGAATTTGATTTTAATGTAAAGTTATTCTATAAAGTATTCCGTTGTAACACACATTATTATACCCGTAATTCGTAGAATAAAAGAGTATATTGTATTCGTTGGAAGGTATGTAACAGGTAGAAGGAAGCGTTTGCAGCTCTATAAAGTATATTTATATTTTTGATTAGAATGAATAGCCGAGCCCATTAAGCCATGACTGTCCGTCCGTCCGTATGAACGTCGAGATCTCGGAAACTATAAAAGACGAAGATTTGAACCTTAGCATAAAGATTAGTGAGACAGACGAACGGGACAAGATCATCGCAGATTATAATACTATATTATTGAAGAGGATAGAAGCTTACCAACAACGAACACATACGCCAAAAAGGTTAATTCAATTGGACTGAAGCAGTAATAAATAAACTATTTCAGGATGGTTAAAAGCTGACCAGAGAAGAGCCTCTAGAAAAAGATGATGTAGAATCCGTGTTTTCTATATTTTTTTGATTCGGTTTGTCGAGGTTAATAGAGGCGGAAGATTGGTAGAGGCTGTTGATTGGTTCATTTAAAAATCGTTGCATTATTAGGCGTTGGTAGTTTACAAACACGAAATTTTTTCAGATTAAGTTTCAATTAAGTTGACATCTAATTGTCCATAGCTGGTATTCTTAATGTGACTCTGATAAACGAAAATACTTAAACTCGATAGTCAAGTTCTTAAAAAATAACAGAAGGTCGGATTATTATTATTTATATTTTTTGGCGATTCTGGTTTAGTTAACACTTTTATAAAATATATAAAAATGATTATTTATGGTCCTTGGTTTATTCGTCTTGAGCTAGATATTAAGTGCTGCCGTTTGTAAGTTTTTTTCCGAATTCCTGCTTGGTTGTTGTCATTTAGATAGTTCGATGTAGGTGCTATAGGTTTTTTTCCAAGTTCAACCACGTTTCTATCTAGTGTAGCAACCTCAGCGGTGGCTGGTAGCATGGGTCCAGAAAGTTTTTGACACGTCGTTTTATTTTCTATTTTTTATAAATAAATAATATTGAAATATTACATTTAATATTAGTGATAAATTTATATATTTTTACCTATATTTTCTAAAGATTCTTTATGAGTTTTTTCGGGCACAGAAATTTTAAAACTGGCTGTTAAAACATCCATGTTTTTTTTTTGGCTTCTTTTGGTAGTGTAGGTATTAATTTGAGAGCATTTGTTGGGACCTTTAGTCTCTTCTTGCCGTTTTTCCAAGTCAATGTTATTCAAATTATCGATGTGGTCACACCTAAAATTATAGTAAGTTACTAATAATTTCAAAAATGTCGACAAAAATAATTTTTAAATAACCCATATCGTTTTTATGTATTTTAGGAACTTAAGTTTAAATAGAGGTCCACTTAAGGTGTCAAAACATTTGCGCCACGTTAACTGATTCACGTTTTCTCCATCTAAACTTCTTTCAAAGTTTCATAGTACACTGTAAATAAATTTTTTTCAAAATTATGGAAGCCTGAAAATGAATTTGTATACCCCTTTATACAATTTTGGTCTGACGTTTCAAACGCATTAAAGAAGAAAGACAATGTGAACATTATTCCTTATATAGTTATGACCGTCAGTTAAACAGCTATCGATTTCAAATTTGTTGTGTATTGTTTTTATTCTTTCCTAATATATATACTGACAGTGGATGCTGATCAATAACAACATTTTTCTCCTATATATATATAAACATTATTTTCAATTTGACTGCAAGGGAAGCTTAATTACCGGCGCCCAGATGTACTGGGCATAAACGCAAAAGTGGTGGTTCTCATCTGTATGTCGACTACTAGAGTGTAGAGCCGTAGGCTGGTTTATTTCCAACAGGTTTGCTAGCAAAAGTACCCTTCAGGTGCCGGAATCATCCTTCTACTAAATTGGGCAACAAAGCAACTACTTTAATTTATAAAGGGTATGGGTGCCAGGAAGTGGCGTACGTGGATGATGTTGCCACAAGCCTTGACCGGGTTATAGACTCACATGGCGCGGCATCGTAGACTTGGCAAAAGCCTGCAGAAGAAAACTCAAACGTTGCGTTGTATGCATTGATGGCATGGCTTGTAAGTACCCTTTTTTTTTACATTACCTGTGAAAACTTCAAAGTGAAAAGGTGAATTGACACTTTAATTAAACCCTTGGAATCATCAAAAAAAGGAGTATGAGGCAGTGCAATGTAAAAATTGATCCATGTCTGAGGATGCGAAAAAGTGTAGAAAAAGTGAAGAAAAATTAAACTGGGAGACGGGTCTCATATCAAAAGAGATGGTCCAAAGAAGGATGGTAGGGACAAATGAAAGGAAACCATTTTGCAACAATTGATGGGACAAAGTCGAAATCGAAAAAGAAGGTATGGACATACCGAAAAACGGATTTCCGAAGTTCTTTGAGGATTGGAAGAAACGCTGACGTAGGTGCTTTATATCTACCTTAAAGGGGACAAAATAAATCAATATATAAATACTTTCCCTAAAAAACCAAAATTCGCAATTTTTTGCTTAACCCTTTAACGCTTGCAGAGAGTATAATTTTGGTTAGAAGATTGTAACGCATTGGTGAATACATTTTAATACCCTTGCAGCCAAACCGAAAATTAATGTTTTTGTTTTTATCCACACTTTTGTGACCTCCCAACTTTAAAAGAACTTAAATAGGAGAAATTAAGTAAGTAAGAAGACGATAATGAAATCCACAACATTTCTTAATTTTTCTAGGACACTTTTTAAAAAAATTTAGTAACGGGTATTATTTTGTTGTTGAGAGACAGTTTTTTCGATTGATTAGGCGAAATCAGTTAACGGGAAAGTTAAACTTTTCCGATTTTTAGTCTTTGCGAGCGCAGGCGTGCAAGCGACTCAGCTTTTTGACTCCTAAGTTTTGAGGTCAATTTTAAACACATATCTAAAGAACGTGCACATAAAATAAATCAAAAAAGATAGATTATTTAAAAATGGAAAAATATTATTGAGTTGTGTTAACCACTGTTTGGATAAATCTTATCTTATTATACCAACCAATTGCCTTGTATCACATTTTCGAGGACGATATCGGATGAACTGCTGGATTGGCTTGGTTGTGGTTCTTCTATTTGATGAAGATTCCTTGTAAAAATTGAATAAATTATAAATCTTGTATAAGAAATCAAAAATTGTATCTTCAGAAATCGGTTTTGCAAAGTGTATGGTTCTCAAACCATTTTCCATAGATTTGTTGAGTTTTAAAGTATATTAAAATGTTTAAATTCTTAATTATAATCAATAGCCGAGTCCATTTAACATTAAACTTAAGTGAACATTTGTGAGACGCCTGTTTGTTTTCAAACTATCAGAATTAGAAGTATCCAAATAAAAACAACAAAATAAAAATTTACAAGACAATTCGTTTTAAAAGATGATATAAATACTGTAACGAACTGATTTTTGATCTGCTCGCTACGAGTATCGTGCGGCTAGCTCAGAAGATGTGTGTTGTTCGTCCCACCAAATTTATTTAAACGTGACTGCCCGATTGTCTAGTGAGAACGCACAGGATGTTAGGATATTTGCACAAGGATCTTTATTCGCCGACTTGCCCCTCGGCCTGGGACTAATGGTTCTCTCAACGCCTTCCCTGAAGAATTGTGGCTGCTCCACCGTCGCTCTCCGCTGCCTCGCTGCTCGCTGCTCCGGAACGCCTCCGTTGTCTTTGGCCTCGGGGCTTTGAGGGTCTAGGGATGCGTTACCGTTCCCAGACTAGGGTGAACAGGCACTGGGCTCTCAAAGCATACGCCTTTCGTAGCCTTAGCCTCCTGTCCCTGGATCTGTCCTGGCCGGTCACACCGGACGCCTACACAGTTTCTACCTGACGGTTCAAGCATACGCCGGAAGGCGTACGCTTCCGCCCTCGCCTCTTAGCCGTGGATTGGATACGTCGGAGTATGGCTTGGTTACTGCTGGGCCTGCGATGACTGCTCGTCGTTTCTCGTGTCCTCGATGTTCTTGCTCTGCTCACGGCGCGAATCCTGGCGCCGTTGTCTGCGTGCTCTTGTGAGAGTAGGTGCAGCGGGTCGGCTCTCGGGATTTGGTCAGCTGCCTTTCTAGGACTCTGGCGGTGAACTACTGTGCTCTCGACGCATATGCCTCTCAAGACAGAGAGTCGCACCAGGGCCTGCACAATTCTCCCCTGCCGGTTCAGGCGTACGGAATTAGACAAGGCTATTGTTTTCGCACGGCAGCTGGTTCTGGACAACTTCTCTCCGAACCCACGGTTCTTTGTCAAAGGACTCTTTTTTTATTCAATTCTGTCGGACTCGCGACAAGAATTAGAACAAAGCGCCTGGACTTAGCCGCGTGATGCCTTAAGGACCTCAGCTACCTGTTTCTCAGCTCGGAGACTTCAACTCTAAGTCCCGAACGTCTTGACGTAGCGATCTTGCTCCTTGTTGACTCGGCGAGGCTCTGCTTCCTCCTGATGTTAACTTGACTTGTGTTGTTCACTGATTTGCTGCTTGTCTACTGATCTTGCTGGATTGACTCCTTGTGATCAACTGATCCCGCTTCCTGCGCTCGGCCTGCTTATATAGGCCGGCGTATGCCGTTTATTCTCGACTTCTCCTTTTTGTCTTTACGCACGGCACTATTCTAGGGTACAAAGTCCGCCGCCTTCTACCGTTACTCCTTCTCTCCCAACTCTCTCTCTCTCCTCGTTCTCACCAAACTCTCTGCAGCCGTATTCTCCAAACTCTCTTTTTTTTTTTAAATAAATGCATACACTCCGAGATGTGGTCATTTCTTATGTTTCCATATATACGATATTAATTCTATAACAAGAACAAGAATAACAATGGTAAGAAAATGTTTAATTTTTGTTACAATTAAACATTTTCTTACCATTTCTGAATCTATTTATTACAAATAACGTTAACTCCAAGAGGTTGTAGATCTTCGCCTTATAAGTCCATGTTGATATGGAGATTGATCTACAAAGATGTTTCCAGTGGGGTTTAGTAAGTAACCACCGGGAGCCTTTTTTGGTCTTAGTTCCCTAAAGACTTTTATGATTTGGTTCCGTCATAGCGAGGTTGGGAATAAATCCGATTTCCTGATTGGATTTATGGTATTGTACTGGTTTGCGAGAATTTTACTTTCTGCCTGTTTCTGAAGAGCAAGGTCGAGAAGGCGGGTGTATTTCTTAAGGCGTTGCATTGAAGATGGCGATCTGCTGGTCTGACAAGCACGAGTACGTCTTCTAGGGCTTCATTAATGCGTCCGATATCCGATTCCATATAAAGTTAAGGGGTGAGTTCTATAAAACAAATCACATACTTTTTGTATTTAAGCCAGTTCGATTATTTTATGGCTTTGAATAAGTGTTCTTAGCACAGGAAAGTGGTCTGAAGATAGGTCATAAAGCGCTTTGGCAGTTATTAGATTGCGTGATATGTTTTTTGTCACCGCAAAATCAATTAGATTTAGGAGCTTTCGGGTGCCTGCTGGCCAGTATTTCCAGGACTTCCAGGGGAAACAAACTCCAATTTGTTTCTTAAATTTATAATTGCAATGTACAATTGCCTTCCTTGGGGTGTCACAAGACGTAATCCCCAGCGCTTATGTTTGGCATTGTAGTCTCCTGCGGCTATGAAACGATCCCCAAGTGAGCTGTAGAAATCCATGGATCGTCCTTCCGAAATTGTTTTGCGAGTCGGGCAGTAAACGGCAGAAATTGAAAGGTTTCCGTTTCTTGATTGCATTTTTATAGATGTGGCCTGCAAGTAATTTGTTGCAAACCTTTGGTGAAAGTGGTGTTTGCTGCGTTCTCTGATTAAGACTTCGGTTCCGGCGTGGGCTTAAGGAATTGTGTTAATTCAAGCTTATGCGCCGTGAGACACCATTGCAAAGGCATTCCATATTGATATTTGAGACTATGCATCGTACTGGTTTTTAAACAAGTGTTTTCATAGTCGTTTTCATGAATGACAATAGTTCCACCATGCTTTGTTGCAGGGTAAACATCGTAGTTTCCATTTTGTTATTTGGCTGTCCTGTGGCGTGGTGAGAGCTTCCTTGGTTAGAGGATTTTCCATCCCAGATCGTAGAGCATCAGCATAGGAGATGCCGTTGGAGGTATTCGGTGCTGATAACGTCAGGTTCGATTCTCTTTATTACTACTTGCAGGCCCTTCTGCTTTTCAGTTGTAAGGTGTAATAATTTTTCTTTGCCTCGTCCAGGTATTTGCACACGGCTCGGGAGTGTACTTTTTATTTTGCTTGCACCTTTGTTTCATGAATATTAAAAAAAAGTGGGAAGTGAGTAGTTCTCTTAGAAAAGGAAAGGACGGCAAAACACAGGGTTTTAGCGCAGTATCTTGGAACTCCTTCGGGACCGGTGAACAGACTAGCTTAACTTTTTGGAGATCCAACAGATGGGAGCTTTCGGATAAAAATTAAGTTTAACTTGGACATGACATATGAAAAAGACTGATTTGGCCGGGAGCAAATCCATTTTTTTAAACACTTTATTTGTATTTATTTGTCATTCTAGGCTGGCTTAAGAGACTAACAATAAGTATTGAATTCTTAACTTTAATTCAATGGACCAAGGTTGGGCAGGAAGGACGGTGGATTCCCTGCAATCGGGAATGGCTGCCGAGCCGATTGAGCTGTCTGGCTAGTTTGTTTGGATATTGCCAGTCTGGCTTCATATTTAACTTTTCTGCTATAAAATTGTTTTTCACGGTTCTTATATTCTGGTCTCTAAGGATGTTGGCATTGCGTACAGGCACCCCCTATTACTGTTCCCAGGATCCAGAATGTCTTTAAACAGGTAACACCAAGTTATACTTTTTATTCAAGTCCAAGGGGTGAGCGGGAGTTGCTAAGCCGGTTTAAAAGGATACCAATATAGGTGACTTGTGGAATTGGTGTATTGTAAAGGGTCTAAAGGCGGACAAGAATCTTGGCTAAGTGTAAACGTGATATGCTAACATATTTTCATTGCTCGTTGACTTGTGTGCGAAAGTCAGCTATATATTTTTCCTATATGTGCTTTTTCTGTGATTAGAGATTTTGAGCAGCAGACAAGTGCAGAAGATTTTTAAATTGTGCATGCTTGAAGAATATTTGGAGAGAAGGATCTTCGCTACATGGCGTTCGGGACTGTGAATCGGTTCGTTGGCGTAAGTGGTTTGAAGACATTTTCTTCGTCGCTGTGCGCCATGTTTTATATGTTTTGTTTTTGTCCGGTCAATGATTTCGCAATTGGACACAGACGAATTTAAACCAGTTTCTGTAAAACCCAGTCACTTGTATCAAACCAAATTTGGTATTTGATATTTATTTAACGTGTTGAGCTTACCTAATAAGAAGCAAATATTTTGGTGGTGTTAAACAAAGGCCGGAGCAAGTTTATTGAGTGTGTGGGGGCGACATTTTCAACTACTTGATCTCGATTTCAATAAACCAATTAGCCGCTATATGGTTGGGCCAAATGGATGGATCAATGGCTCTATCGAAAAAATTAATCAGAGTAGCCGCCGCAGTCAAGCGTAAGATAAATGTGATACATTAGGCTTTCGAGATGCAATGGCCGAAATGGCCCTATTATAAACCTCGCCAATTATAAACCTATCATAATCACCAAGAATCTATTGGAGACCACAAGAGTCATCACTAAACAAGCAAAACGCATAACAAGCAAAGGCGACATGGGGTATACAAAGGACACAGCTCGGAGATGCCACAAATCGCCAAGACTATTTTGCTAGGTATGCGGACAGGATAAAATACGCACGACTCACTGGTGTCACCAATTCAATTTTTTTTTATTTTTATTGTTGAACACGCCACACAAGGATGGACCTTGTTTTTGTGTATTGTCAAATTATTTCTAAATATCCCAAAAGAAGCGGGTAAGGGGTGCTCCATTCTTGGGCAAATCAGGTGTGGTCATAGAAGGTCATAAGTTAATCAAGATATGTGGTTATAGAAGACGACCGTGTTTGTGTGAGCACACGTTCCCGGTATCGACTTGAGGATTTACAAATCGTCTCCGTTACTGTCGGCACTTCCGTGTCCTGGAACATAACTCGGTTTTCTACATAATGGTGCCACTTCACCCCCAATACT